AAAATTTCTTTTTTTTTTTTTTTTGTTAATCGTACGCGGCGTAATCAAGTCAACCGCAAATATGTTTCCTTAAATGGTTTAAAATTAAACTTTTTTTTTTTTGTTATTGATAATAATCATCATCATCATCGCGATCGTGACCGAATCGATAAAATTATCATCATCATCATCATCGACAACACCTTTTCAGGTTTTTTTTTTACTTCCGCCTTTTTTTTCCTCTTTACTCTATCGCGAATCGTTCGATATATCGATTGAAATGAAATTTATATTATTTTTTCGTATTAAAACTCTCAACTTGTTCGACGAGTCGTTTTATAAAAACGCGGCGGTGGCGATGGCGGTGGTGGTGGCGGTGATGGCGGTGTCGGTGGTGGTGGTGGCGATCGTTTTTCGCACGTGTAAAAAAAAATATTAACGAAAATAAATTTTTTTTTCGTTTCCCCCCTTTTGAACACTTGTAATCGATTACATCCGACCACCCGTAATAATTGTCGCCATTTGTAATAATTACCAATAATAATAATAATAATAATAATGATGATGATGATGATGATGATGATAATAAATGATTATACATTACGTTTCGTTTAATTTGTTTAAAAAAAAAAAAAAAAACGCAGTCGTTTGACACACCCGTAATAAAAAAATAATTTATTTAATTTTTATTTTTTCTCTCTCTCTCTCTCACTCCTTTCTCCCTCTCCCTCCCTCCTTCCCTTCCTCACTCTCTCTCTCTCTTTCTCTCTCTCTCTCTCTTTATTATTTTTTATTACCGTAATAATTTTTAATTTTTTATGTGTGTATAAATACACCGCGCGGATTGTATTTCAAATACCAAAATGCAAACATCATTTCAATTGTAATCGTGCGTTCGTGCTTGCGTGCGTGCGTGTGTGCGTAAGTGCGCGTTTATACACAATCCAATATTGATTTCTTTTATTATTATTATTATTGCGTAATTTTTTTTTTTTATGCAACAACGCTTTCTCGATTTCGTTCCAGTGTTTTCTCCCTCTCTCTCTCTCTCTCACTCCTTACACGTTGCAAAAGGAACATGTAGAATAATAATAATGATAATAATAATAATAATGATAAAGAGGAATATATAAAAATTAACTATTACCCAAAGTAATAATTAACTTCATTATCTTGTAAATGAATCGTAATTGGTTTGGTTGTGTTATTACGTCACATTTTTCTATTGATCTCTAATGTCGTCTCATTAATTTTTTTTTTTTTCGATTCGATTCGATTTTTTTTTTCTCATTGAATTGTGATTGTTATTAATAATAATAAAATCATAAGAGAAAGAGAGAGAGAAAGAGAGTGAGAAAGAAAGAAAGCCGCCGCGTAGTAATAGCAGGTGATAAATAATAAAAAAAAATTGTGTAACGTTTGTCGCGTTTTCTTTTAATAGTAATAATAATAATAATTAACGTTTGTTTTTAATTACTGGAAATTTTTTTTTACCTCTCTCGCTCTTTTCTGGTAGAAAAAAGAAAATGGTGGTGAATTTTCAAATAGGGGAAGGGTAGGAAAGGGCAGGGAAAGAGAATCCGTATGCAAACCTGTGACCTTTGATTATGGATGTGCGTGCATGCGTGCGTGCTTGCGTTTGCGTTGGTAGCAAATAACGAGGATAAGAGAGATATGCCAAGTTTAAATAATAAGAGAGAGGTCAGGAAGGGAGAGAGAGAGAGAGAAAAACCGGGTTTTAACGACCTCGAATTATAATAATAATAATATTTAAAAAAGGAGATGAACGAAAGTTTTTTTTTTTTGTTGCTGACGGGAAGGTCGTTCCAGCAAAAAAAAAGAAAAACGTTTTTTTTTTATGTAACAAAGAAGGCAGTCAACTTTTTAAAATGTTTTATAATATGATAAAACGTGTCAGAAGAAAATTTCAATAGAAAAAACACACATTCTTAAGAAAAATAATAATAATGAGGTAAACGTTACGTTTCGGGGGAAGAGATGGAGAAAGAGGGGAAGAAGGGAGGAAGGGAGTTAAAAAAAAAATTATTAATATAAAATAAAATTTGTTCGGGTCAGTAGAATTACGTGTAATTTGATTTTAAAAAAAATACAACGACGACGAAAGGGTTAAAAAGAAAAAATGCGGAACGAAAAATTAAAAGGGGTTAAAAAAAAAGAAAAACGTTTTGTTATAATAATAATAATAATGAAAAGTAATAGTAACGTTTTTTCCAGTGAATCTCTGGAGAATACTTTCAACGGTAAACAATATTATTAAATACGTTTTAAATTAATCACGTTCGCTGGAGAATAACAAAAAAAAAATTAAAATTAAAATTTCAGACGAGAAAATATTAAGAAATTAAAATTCGTTAATTTAAAAGCACGCACGCACACGCACATACGCAACAAAATTATTTATTTATTTATTTATATTGATTATTATCAACGAGTTTTTTTTTTTTTTTTTATAAAAAACTGGAATTAAGTTATATTTTTAAACTTTCTATTTATTTTTAAATTGGTAAAAAAAAAAAGAAATGGCCACGCCTGGAAATGGTTTAAATTTTTTTTTTTTTTTTTTCACCTGGAGATAAGATATCTAAAACATCTATTTAACTTTTTTTTTTTTTTTATATCAATATTTTAAATTTAAGACACGAAATCATTAACGTCTACTACTCTACCTCTTCCCCTTCCCCTTCCCTCCCCTCTCCTCCATTCCTCCTCTCCTCCGTTTTTTCTTTCTCCAGCAACCGCATTTTACTGCGTTATTTTTTTTGATTAAATTTTAAACATTAACAATTTGATTTCATAAGTAATTTTTTTTTCCCTTACATTACGTAAAATGTAACGACAAACAAACAAACAAACAAACGAACGCGACAAACAAACGAAAAGTTTTCCAAAAAAAATATTATTATTATTTGCCATTATTATTACGTAATTTAAAGGAAAAGATTTATTTTAAATAACAATACGACATAAATAAATAATTTTTATTTTTTGTTAATTCCATAGATTTTTTTTTATCGTGGTTTTAGATTTATATCAATAAATAAAAAAAAAAAAACTGGAACGTTTGCAGCATACGTTTTACGTTGTTGACATATTTAATTTATGTAATTTTTATATGAATTTTTAAAACACGATTTTCTCGTTTGATTATGACACGCGAAAAAAAAATTTAAATTTTATTTAAATTCATTGATAAAACGGTAAAATGGAGATTATTATTATTATTATTACTCTATGACGATTTCATTATAAATAATTTTCATAGAGTAATTAAACGCGAATTCGATTATTAAAGATGTGGTGAGAACGAACGCGCGAGCGCGCGTGTGTGTCTATTAAATTTTTTATGAAGTTTACGAGAGTGAGAGAGAGAGGGGGGGGGAAATTTCGGGTGAGATTTATGACGTGGAAGGAGCGAAGGGTTTGGATAAATTAACGGTAGGCCACGAACGACGAAAATGAGTTTATAAAAAAAAAAAAAAAATGATTAAATACCTGTGTGTGTGTGTGTGTCGGTATTTAAGTGTCAGGTACGGTACCGTTTAAGAAATAATAATAATAATGATTGGAAATTCATGTCGGAAGGCGGCGGCGGTTGCGGCGGCGTCGAAAATTTTTTTTTTCTCTCTCTCTCTCACGCTTCCCTCTCCCTCTCTTTCTTTTTTCTTTCTTCCGTACCTTAAATTGAACGGAACGGTTTGAAAAATTAAAAAAAAAAAATGGCGGAATCGATCGTCGATTTGTTGCGAGAGGTTTTGTTCGGAGGGAAAAAAAATGGCGCTAAAAAAAAAAATTTAATTACGCGGCGTAAACGACGACGACAACGAAGACATGTACAACGTGTTCAACAAAGCATAAGGCACGTTTTCAGGTTTATTCTGACATGTTTAGGTGTGCACAAGTCACGTTTGCAATATTTATATATTATTATTATTAATAATAATAATTTTAACTCTTTGATTTTTTTTTTTTTTTTACCACTTCTTCTTCTTCTTCTTCCACTTTTTTCCCTCCTCTTTTTTCCATTTCAATCATAATCATCATCATTATATTCTTTTCTACAATTTTTTAACGTTTCGAATTCTTAGAAAAAATCGACGGACTGACGGACAGACTGACGGACAAACAAAAAAAAAAAATGTTTTAAGACAACGCGACGACGACAAACAACAACGGAAACAAACGCTTTTGACAAACTATTGAAAGTAAGTGAATATAATTTTTTTTTCTATATAAAAAAAAATCACGAAGAAAATTCCCGACAAACGCTCGATTCCTGGAGATTTGAGACGACTCCTGGAGAAAACCCAGTCTCGATTAGTTTTCGTACCTGAAAAATAGGCAAAAGATATACGATCGTTTTTTAACTTTTGGCAAATTGAAAATTTTATTATTATTATTATTATTTATTCTTTATTTACATTTTCCTTTCTTCTGGGTGGTCTCCTCATTCTTTCTCCAGAGAATCTTCATTTTTAAAGTATGCGCGTGCGCATGCAATTCATAGCAATGGACAAACCGTTACTAAAGTGAAAATATATATATAACTGGTGCACGATTGTAAACCGTTTTACCGAAAAAAAAATTTCCGATTGAAAATAATAATAATAATAAAAATCCTTTTGTCGGAAATTTCGTTTTATTTATTTTTACGACGTTTTTATTCTTCTACCACGTTAATAAATTTTTTTTTTTTTTATAAACAAAAAAAAAATTTTTCGTCCTTGAAATTTAATTTATAAATTTTTTTAATAAAAAACAATGGATGGATCGTCGTCTTCGTCGTCGTCGTCGAATAAAAAAATCTTCTGCCACGTAATTTTTTTTTTTCTACTAACACGATTAAATGCATAACAATTTACTTATTAATATGCATGGGTTTGTTATAATAATAATAATAATAATAATAATAATAATAATAATAATAATAATAATAATAATAAATTGTTTTAATAAAAAAAAAGAGGTCAAAAACTCGCCTTTTAGCCTTTGCCTCCTTTCCCCTACCCCCTCATCCCGCCTGTTTGTGTTCTGCTTTTATAAAAAAAAAAAATTTTTTGGAATTAAATAACGCCCCCCGAAAAAAAAAGATTTTCTAAAACACCTCCAGTTTTGGTTATCACATTCGGAAAAAAAAAAAAAACTATAACCTGTGATTAGGGTGCTAGTGTGTAGGTCGACACGGGGTCACGGTTTCGTATCCACCCAAAAAAAAATTTCATTTTTTTTTTTTGACTGATTTAAAATACGTAACCCAATTGGACGGATACATATCCTTTCCGATGTACATTTAAACAATTATTATTATCATCATCATCGCTCGGTGACAACGATCATATGGAATTCGAAAAAAAAAAAAAAAATGTCGATGATTTGATAACTTATCAATAGGTTGTGATACGTTTTAATTTTTTTTGTAAATAAATAATTGGTTTGAAAAAATCATTTGAAATTCCATTCAAATTCCTTTTCCGGTTATCATTTAATACCTCACTCTCGTCATCGTCGTCTCTTACCTCTCTCTCTCTCTCTCTCTCTCTCTCTCTCACTCACTCACTCTCTCTCACTCTCTTTCACATGATTATTTTATCAAATATGTCTATCGATATAATCATCATCATCATCATTACGTCTACCTAATAATATTTCAAACGTTTCTCTCTCTCTCTCTTTTTCTTTCTCTCTCTTTCCATGTGTTTGTTTTTGGAATCATTCTGGAAAATTTTTTTTGTGTTTCTAAAGTCACGACAAAATGTTTTTTTTTTTTTTTTTTTTAATTGTTTTATTAACGCGTGCGGGCGCGCGCGTGTGCGTGTGACCCTCTCGTGATTTGATTTGATTGACGCACATACTTCAAAAAAGGCATTCGAAAACCTTCAAGGTTACACTTATCGTCCTTTATTAATAATAATAATAATAATAATAATAATAATAATAATAATTTTAATAAGAACGTAATAATTAACGTTTAGTTAAGTTAAAAAAAATTAAAAAAACGTGTCATTAGATGAAAAATTTTATTCTTTTATTTTATTTTATTTCGAGTATTTTTTTGTTGTTGTTGTTGTTGTTAACACGCGCATACCCCCCGCCCCTGGCCCCCCATTGCCTACCCGGCCCCCTGTCCATCCCTTCGGTTTTTCTTCTTCTTCTTTGTTTTCCAATAAGAATTTGTTTGTCCTTAACATAAAAACCTTAACCTGCATTTTATTTGATTGAGTGCAGTCGACATTTTTTTTTTTTTCGTACGCTCGTTGATGATAAAATGAGTAAAAAAAAAAAAAGGAAATTTTTTCCTTCCACGTTTTTTTTTTTAAAAAAGGATCGGGAACCTTTTAAACGTTTTTTTTTTTTTTAAGATTAATAATAAAATGTCAAAATGGCGACAAAAATAAATTTTTTTTTTTTTCAATCGAATGTTTGACGACGATTTGTTTTTCATTTTTACGATCGAATATAAATTTGCGAGATCATTACCGACGAATGATTTGCGGTTTTTTTTTTTTTTTTTTACATCTTCTCCAAGTGTTTTTCAACCGACACGAGTATCTGCACGTGAAGGTGTGTCTGCGTCCACGTACAAAACACGCGCGCGGGTTCATTTTTGTAGAAAAAAAAAAAAACAAACAAAATGTGTTCATGCACGTACACGTTCGCGTATAAAAAAAAATTTCCGATCGATCGTTATGTCAAACGTGTGAAAAATAAAATTATTATTAATAATAATGATAATAATGATGATGATAATAAAAGAGTTTTCTGTTTATTTTTTGCATGACAATGACGTTTTGAAAAAAAAAAAAAAAAAAAAAACGATGCCAACAACGATCGTTACAACAATAAAAGGGCCATGCCCCCCAAAGTCGATTGTAGTGAGTGAATTTTAACGGAACAATCACATTAAATGCGTTGTGGTGTGCGTGTGCGCGCGTGTGCACTCATTATAACGTATTAATTGTAGTTAATAAATAACGAAAAAAGAAAAATAATAATAATAATTTATAATAAAATTATAAATTGTAATTTATTTCTCTGCCATTGACACGATTTTTTTCAAACGAACAAGTGTTTTTTCCACGTTTCCTCTATTATTATTATTATTACGTAATTTTCATCATCATTATTATTATTATCACCATCATCATATAGTTTGCATCGTGATGACGTTATAATTTTTTTTTTTTTATTTCATTTCAGGTTACCACAGCTTGCCGTCTCAGCGAAGTTACTGTGCCTCCTGATGGTAAGTTATTTAATTTTTATTATTATTATTATTATTATTATTATTATTATTTAATGTCAAAACCGGATATATTCGCGTTTAATCGAAGGTCGAAAGTATAAAAAAAAAATTTTTTTTTTTAATTACTTACTAATTAATAAACATTATAAAAAAAAAAATTATTTATTTCGATTGGTAATAAAAATTATCCAGGCGGTGGTAAAAAAAAAAAAAATATTTATTGTCCTTTACCACCTGGAATTTCCTCATATTTGCCCTTAACGCCTACCATATCGTTATTATTATTATTATTTTTCGAAAAAAAATTAATATTTATTTATTAACATTCCGCGATTCTTAAATCACGTTTTTTTTTTTTTCAAACATATGTTAATAATAATAATAATAAAAAACTTGGAATATTATCGATATTAAATCATAATCTCACCGCTGGAGTTTAAATAATAATCGAAAGGTTAAAAACAAACAAACAACAACGTCAACCCCCCCACAGAATAAAAAAAAAAAAAAATTTCATCTTGATTTTTTTTTTATTAAAATAATAATAATAATAAAAATTATAATCCGTTTTGTGACATAATCAATTACGTAACATTCGTATTGAATGACTTTAACGTGAATTAAACGTGGCAGAAGAACGATGGGGGAAAAATAAGGGGAGAACATTAAAAACAAAAAATTTTTCAACGGGGGGAACGTTGAAAAACTAGTAGTAGTAGTAGTAGCTGAGACACGAGAAAGTTTTTAAAATTTTAATAATAATAATAATCGTCGTGGCACGAGGGCTTAAATTAACGCGCTATATTTTTTTTTATTTTATAGAACTATATATTGATAATTATTTTATCGTTTCAGGTGGTGATCTGCGGGGCAGTACCTTCTATGGTTCGCTCAGTAAAGCTCTTTGGAGAGAGCAGTAATAAATTCGTTAGGATAAACATGTCCGGTCACGTGTATGCAGCAGACTACAATGAAAAAGACGCTTACCGTAAGTTATCTAGATTTTAAAAACTTTATTATTATTATTATTATTTGACCCCCATCATTAACAATCGGTAGTGATAATAAAAAAAAAATAATAATAATAATAGTTTTTTTCGTATTCGTATATCGGGAGTCGTAAACCGCGCGAGGATGGTAAAACCATTACTCTCACACGTAGTAGTAGTAAGAGAAAATAAAAGAGAGAGAGAGAGAGAGAGAGAGAGAGGGCGTGTGTGTATGAGAGAGAGGGTAAACGTAGAAAAGGAATTAAAGAAAAGGTTAAAAAAAAAATTTTTTATTATTATTGTAAGTCAGTTTGAGACCACCAAAGTCATGTCATTGTTTATGTGAGAATAAGAAGAAGAAGAAGAATGAGTTTAACAATTCAATGTTAAATTATGGCTTCCTCGCCCTCATCGGGAGTAATTTTAACATTTATTACCAACACAAATAAAACCTATTGTTTTAATTTTCTCATTTGATTGATTGATTGATTCTTTCACACGCGAACTACGTCATCGTTGTCCCAAAACGTTCTTCTTTTGCGTTCGCTCTCTCGCGTTCCAACCAACACCTTACCTTTTTCTAATCCCACCGTTTAAAAAGGGCGGGAGAAGGGAATATTAAAAAAACCGACCACCTACTTGCTACACTACCACCACCACCACCACCATCATCCACTCGATACCTTTGTAGTAGAGAAAACCGCGTTCGATTCCATATTGTACCTTGTTTTAAAAAAAAAACCACCACACGAACCGTAAATAATTTTTTTTAGGTTTATTACATTCCATTAAAATTTAATTTCGTAAATAAGGACAAAAAGAAAAACGCAGGCGGGACAAACTTAATTTATTATTATCATTATCATTATTATTATTACCGTGCACACCGCTGCATTTACGGTCGAGTCATTCACTTTCGGATCTCCTTTTTTCTCTCTTTCTCTCTCCTTTTTCTTTTTATTCTAATAATAATAATAATAAGTCGGTTTTGACCAGGTAATTGAAAATGTTGGGAATATTAGAATACCTACCACGTAAGCAGGTAGGTAGGTAGGTTGGTATCTACGTTGGGAGTCAGGTATCAGGTTATGGGTTTGCAAAAATATAAAGAAAGGAAGGGAGGAGGGGGAAAATGATTTAATGAAGGTTTGACTTACGGTTATTGCAATACGTGTTTATGGTTTGAAAACGTTTTTCTTTTTTTTCTTTTTTTTTTTACGAAGTAGCTCGCCTAGAGTACAACTTTGTTTATAATAAATAATAATAATAATAATAATAATAAAGGGAAGAAAAAAAAACGCTATAAAAATATAGTTTTTATGCTATAACGTATTATAAATCTCCGGGTGGGTAATTTTTTTCCTTTTCTTTCCTCTACAATAATATATACTTTGTAGAAAAGGATAATAAAATGTGTATACATAGTGTACTACGTCATTATTATTATTATTATTTTTATGTTTTGCCAACTTAACATTAAAAAAAAAAAGGTATATAAATCGTGATTTGAAAATTATCCAGTTGTTGAATCTCTGGAGCACTACCACTACTACTCCTTACTAACAGGTCGAGGTAGGTTCTATTGCTTAACCTGTTGACCTTCTTCTTGTAACTCGTGAAATTTTTTTTTCCTTTACAAAAAATCTTTTGTACCCTCTTGGTGGCAGGCGGGGGTAGGTGGGGAGTAAGGGGAGGGGTGAGTAGCGGTCTTTTTATTTTCATTAGAAAGAAACAGGAAAAAAAACGAACCAAAGTCCATTTTTCCCACCGCAACGTCACCGACATCTTTTTTTTTCTTTGCAAAAAAAACCCCGCCATTTTTTTTTTTGCGTAACGTTTCCCCTCTTTATTTGGTTATCCGGGTTAAACTATATTTTTATAGCGTTGTTGTTTTTTTTTTTAAATTTATTTCACCATTAATAGAATTATTCCGTCATGCGGAAATATAAATACATTTACGTTTGTAGAATTTTAATTTTTTCGACATCGTTTAAATTCTTACACGACGCGGAATTTAAAATATAGCGCTATAAAATTTCCCCCCCCTTTTTTTTCTTTATTAAATTAACATCTCATAAATTTTTAATTTTTTCACCAACGACGACAGCGAAAAAACCGCATACAAAGATAATAATAATAATTATATTAATACTCCTCCCTCCTCGTTTTAAAATTTATAGACTATATAATTTTTTCCCCCGGTTTTATTATAACGCTATAGAAAAATTTAAATAAAAACCGTGACCGATATTTTATTATTTTTTAAATTCTATAATAAATATTATTATTATTATTATTACGTATTAAAATTTATCAATGGGAAAAGAGAGAGAAAAAAAAATCGTTTTCCATTCATTTTTTTTTTTTTTTTTTTTTTTATCATCACGGAATCCATTAAAGAAATTATCTTGTTTTATATTTTTTTATAGACGCGTAAATATTCTAGAACTTTTTTTTTTTTTTATTATGTTCATTTTACATTATTTACAATCTGTCATAATTTCCCTTATTATTATTATTATCATCAACAACCACAACAACAACGTGATCTGTTTTCTTCATGCCGACGTTGTAATGAAAAAAAAAGTGTGAAAATGAAAATTCGAAAGAAATTTTTCTAGAAAAATAGTGATTATTTACTATAGTCTATAATTTTATTTAATTTTAAACGCGTTTGTTTGTTTGTTTGTTTGTTTTATCGTTTTTTTTCGATTCGAGAATTATCGATAGGGAATTTTTGCGAATAGAAAAAAAGAAAAAATTTTTAACGAAGGAAAATAGAAAATTATAGTAGGAGGAGGAGAAGAAAAAAAAAGAAAAATCTAGAAAATATAAACAACAAACAAACGAACAAACGGGGAAAATATTCGTACAAACAGAGACAAAAAAAAAAATAAAACTGGAGAAAACTGGAATTTTTATTTGGAAAAAAACTAATTTAAATACCCGCGATACGAAAACGTTTTTTCTTTTTTTTTAAACTGGAGAAAAAATTTTAAAATTAATTCATAACAAAAAAAAAAAAAAAACATTTGTCATTTTTAAATTTATAGTAAAATATAGCGCTATAACGAAATATTCAAAAAAAAAAAATTACTGGAATTGATGCGTGGGTTTTATTTATAACATTTTTTAAAAAACATTTCAAATGAATTATTTATTAATAGTTATGCAATTTAAATTAGTCACGTGACTTTTTTTTTTTTTTTTTAGTTATGGAAAGAGTTATAATAGTAACGATACAATTTTCGACAATGATTACTTTTTTTTTTTTTTTAATATTATTACTGGAGAAAAAAATTTGATTTTAAATATTCCAGCGTATTGAAAAAATAAAAACTTCTGGACAAAAAAAAAAAAATATTTTCATCGTGTTAATTTCGTGTATCAACCATTTTTTTTTCTTTTTTATTCGAAAAAAAAAAAATTGTATACGAATTTGTATTTGTGTGTGTGTGTGTTCGTTTGTTTGTTTGTTTGTTTGTTGACTTTGACCCGTTTCAATTAGCAAGTTAAGTCACTGGAATTCCGAAAAAAACATGGCGTCAATCCCATTCTTCTTTAATTTTTTTTTTTTTTTTTTTACGCGGAGAACAAAAAAAAAAAAATTTTCCCGTACCTAAAAAAAAACTTTAAATTTTCCCGCCATTTTGAAATGAAATTATCAAGTCCGTCCAATCGATTTTCCCTTCCAATACAAATAAAAAAAAAAAAAAAAAAACGAACAAAAAAAAAAAATTAAAATGTAAACGAATAAAAAAACATCTTCATCGAAGAATGCGGTTGTTAATAATAATAATAATAATAATGAAAAGAGAGAAAAACCGACGTAAAACTAACAAACAACAACAACAACAAACAAATAACATTGTCCGATTGTTACGTGTAATAAATAATTCACTTGAAAAATTAAAAAAAAAAAAAAAAAAAAATTGATTTTCGTCTTTGTAACGCCCCATTTTCTCGTTTCATTTTTTATTATTATTTTTTATTTTTAATTTAAACAAATAAACAAACACAAACAAACAAACAAACAATCGAACAACGTCATTGTTTTTAAAAATTTCTTTTACCCTACATCGTAACGAAAAAAAAAAAAAATTTTGTAAATATTAAAAAAGATTTTATTTTTATTCGGAAGAAAATTCAATACCGTAAATCATTGTAGCCAACTTAAAAAGGTTTAGTTTAACAGACTGACAACTTAAAATAAAATTTTTTTTTTATACGGGGGGGTAGAATTAAAAAAAAGAAAATGGTTGGTGTGTGTGTTTGTGTTTATTAATTTTTTTTTTTGTTTTCTTACAGTTAATTTAACAATTCGTTCGATCGACTTCAGATCGAGGCTGAACATATATTCTGAACATGCTGGAAGGTACCTTTGTTTTAATAAAAGCTGGAAATTAGTCGGAATGGTAAGAAACCATTAAATTTTTTTTTTATTTACGCACTAAACTTTTTTTTTTTTTTCTCGTTAAATTTTTTTAGTTTAAATGGATAAAAAAAAAAAAAAAATTGTTGTCTTGTTTGTTGTCTTGTTTGTTGTCGTTGTTGTACTTACATACACGTACCACACATTTACACGATTAAAAAAGAAAAAAAAGTTGAATCGTAATTCGACCAAATCCTTTTTTTTTTTTTTTTTATTCATTATTTTATTGTTATTGTTTTTATCTAAAAGATTAATAGTAGCCGGTCAGCCGGACAACTGACAATTTTTTTTTTTTTTTTACTATTAAATTAATGGAAACCAAGATTAAGAAATATTTTCATTCGTTTTAAACTCATTACCTGTTTTTCCTTTTTATGTAATTTCAAAGGAAAAAAGGTTTTTAACCTTTGATAATAAATTTTAATAATGGCAGACTGTGATAAGGTAATGATAATACAAAAAATTTCGCAAAAATTTCCGTTTTTTTCCGTTAAAAACGGTTTTTTTTAAAAAATACACATTTGCGAGACTTAGTACTCGAAATCACCGACAGATTTCGTTTTAATTCTGACGTCATTTTTCTTTTTAACGAATCACGTGAGGGATAATTGTTTATGTAAATTTTGAAAAAACAAAATGGCCGCCGTGTAATTTAAAAATGGGTCGTGTTACGTACGGAGGGAATAAAAAAAATTTTTTTTCGGGTATTTAGAAATGTGACGCGTGTAATTTTTTTTTTTTTTTGTCTGATTTCACGTCGAATTTTATCTTTTTTTTGTTGTTTTTAGCGTGATAAAAGAAGAAAAGGTGCCATGTGCGAATTTTTAGAGACGGTGGAATCAAGAGGTTACAGCAGGTATCGTTCGATAGCAAACGGTACACATTTTCTCGCATTTAATTCGAAGGGTAAACCGTTAAGGTATAATCCACGTTTATCAATGGGATACGAAGAAAATTGTATAAACTTTGTTAAAATCGACGTGAGTTTTAACATAACGAGACACAATTCAAAATTATCCGGCGGAAGTAATCAAATACCGGATATAACGCGATGGTATTACAAGGACAGCACACATTCGAGACGGCACAAGGGAAGAAAACGAAAAGCATGACTATTGGAAAAAAAAAATCGGGGAAAACGTAAACAAACTCCCCGTTATAAAAAAATTATTAATAATAATAATAACAATAATAATATTAATAATAACGAAAAGAAAAATAATAATAATATTAAAAAGAAAAAAAAATACCGGAAATAATATTCTCTGACGTGAACAAAAAAAAAAAGCGGAAGTGAAAAAGTAAAAAAATGTCGTTAACGAAATAAACATTAATAAAAGTTTTTCGTTCCTGGAGAAAGAAAAAAAAAAAAAATTAAATTTCCACTCTAGTTGAACCCGGTTGTTCATAAGCTTTAAACGATAATAATAATAATAATAATTATTTAAAGAAGGCGGTGAAAAAAAAAACTTTTTTATCATGTGAAAATATATAAATATATATAAACAATGTGTTCGAACGAATGTTTGTGTTACCAATTAATAATGATGATGATGATGGAAAAAACTTTTCTTTTTTTTTTTTTTATGGAAAACATTTTGGAAAAAAAAATATTATTATTATTTTGTGTTTGATCATGTAATTTGTTGTAAATATTATTTATTTTTTATTAATAATTTTATAAGAGCGTTTGTGAAACGCACTCGCGCACGCACGCACACACGCACGTGTTTTTTTTTTTTAATAAAAAAACAAACTTTCGATTAATATCGTCGTCTGCTTCTATATATACATTTTACCGAAATTAAATGAATTTGAAATTTTTCTATAAGACTGATTTTATAATTTTACACGTTCCGTGATTATTATAGTGCTATAAAAAAATTATAGACTCGTCGTATTGATTCCTTTTAAAAAAGTACTATATTATGGCGCTATAAGATTATGGCAATCGTAAAAAAAAAATTTTTTTTTCGTATTTATATCATTTCTATACAAATAAACTCTATAATTTAAAATAGCACTACAAGAAAATAATAATAATAATTACGTAATGACGATGAGAATCGATTACGATGATAATAATAATAATAGATATACATCGTAAAAAAAAAAAAAGAAATTATTATTATTTTTCCTTAATAGGTTTTTTATAGGAATTTAATGATTTATATTTTGCTACAAACTTTATTGTAAATTTATTATTATTATTATCATTATTATTTATTATCTTTTTACATGCAAACAAACTTTTATTGTTATTACGACGCGATCGCGTAATGTTTTATTATTATTATTATTATTATTGTTATTTTTCTTTTTTTCTTTTATCATCCGAAGACACGCTATAATTTTTTTTTTCCTTTTTACAATGATATTTTAATTTTCTTTTTATATTTTTATTATTATTATCATTATTATTATTATTATAACTACTACCGTTTTTATGAAATTATCACTTTCGATTACCGGTAATTTTTTTTTTTTATTAGCGTTAGAAAACAAAGAGCTATAATTTTAAAATGAGGACTTAATTATTGAGTTTTTTTTTAAGTTGGTAACACGCGAAAGACGTTTTAATTTATAGAATTTGTTTGTTTTTATAGCGAAAATATAGCGCGACGAAAGGTCGTCGAGATTAATTTTAAAAAAAAGTGAAAATTTGTGACGTCAACGATTGACGTAATTAATTTTAAAAAAATAATTTTCTTTTTATTGTTGCGTTTTTAACAAAATTTTTTTTTTTATAGCGCTACAATTTCACTTCTTTTTTTATTTGTATAAAAGTTTGGGTTCTGATAATTAAATTATTTTAAAACCGACAAAAAAGGAAAAAAATTCAATTAACAAAAAAAAAGGAAAAAAGTTTTTTAAATGTAAATTTACGAGTTTTTTTTAACCCGGTTCCGACCCTGATTTGATTTCCCCCCAAAATTATTTCACCCCATCAGGTATAAAAATTTGAAATTTTTTAAAAATGTTTTTCACGAATGACATTTAAAAAATATTTAATTTCGTGTAATTAAAATAATTTTCTTTTTTTAAAATCTAAAACCCCGTCGACGTGGTTTTAATTATTTTATTATTAATAATAATTATAGCAGGTGATAAACTCTATAAATTTATCGTTATTAATAAAAATTATTAACGACTTGAAATAAATTAAAAAATTATAATCATCGTAAATCTTCTATAAAATTAATAAATATTAACGTTCTATAATTTATATTTTTTTATAGTCTATAAAACTATCACGGAATTATTTTTTAATAAATTTATTAATAATAATAATAATAACGACGCGAAAAATTATTAATTAATTAAACGTTAATTTTTTTTATTAACAAATTAAATAAAAATGTTTATGCGAATTTTATCATTTTGTTTTTTTTTTTTTTTTAACGTGTCAATAGAAAAAATTTTTGGTAAAATGAAGTGGTAAATAAATAAGAGGAAAAGTGACGTATATACGACACATTTTTCTCTCTCTCTCTCTCTCTTTCAAAAGTAAATTAATAATAATAATAATGTTTTCTTTTTATATTTTTTTTTGTGAAAAAAAAAAAAATTTTTTTAGCACCTGCAGAGAAGATTTTTCTGGTCTCTTTTAATAAAGAGGGAGAGAGGGGGAAGAGGAAGAGGGGGAGGAAGAGGTAGAGAGAGAGAGATATAGAGAGAGAGAAAGAGAAGGAGGTAGAAAAAGGAAAAAGAAAAAAAAAACGGATGAAATGTCATATTAATAATAAATTTTTATATTTCTCACTCTCTCATGTGTCGTGTGACATTTACGCGTGTGTGCACGTGCGTGCGTGTGGCAATTATAGCGTTTTCATTTTTATAAATATATATATCGAATCTCTCTTTATAGCGCTATATATACATATATTTAACAATTATAATTTTAAAAAAAAAATGCGCGATTTTTATATCCAAACGATTTTTTTTTTCAAACTTAAAAACAAAACAACCCCCGTTATTATTATTATTATTATTATTTTAAATGAATTTTCCGATAAATCGAATCCCTTCATTTCGACAATCACCATCCCTCCTTCTCCCTTCACACCCTACCCTCACTCCCAATCACTTCCGTTTCCTCTTCAACATAAATTTTTGTAAATAAAAAAAAAAAAACATGTATCAACAAACCAACAAACAAACAAACACGCAACGCACTTTTAACAATAAATTTATTTTAATAAAAAAAACGAGTATAATAATAATAGTAATAATAATAATAATAGTAATAATAATGATAATAATTTTGTAGTTATTGTAATAATGATGATTATATTGCGCATACAAACAGACACACACAAAAAAAAAATATATATATGTATACATAAATTCATATAAATAATTGTAAACAATTTTTTTTTTTTAATAACTTTTTTTTTTAATAAATAAATAAATCAAAATGATTATTAATTTTTTTTTTTTTCACGTCGTAATAATAATAATAATAATAAAGCATGGATTTTTAACGGTAAATAATTTTTTTTTTTTTTTTCGAAAAAAAAATTTTTGTAACGAAAATCGAAACAACAGAAATATGAATTTCATTTCTTGATGACGTCATTTACAAAAAACAAAAAAAAAATTATAAAATAATAATAATAATAGTACAGGGTTCTTAACATTACGTATGGAATTTTACGATTTAAAATAAGAATTATATTATTATTATTATAACACGAGAATGATTGACACAAATAAAACAAAATCTTATTAGTACCTGTTCCATATAACCTTTCGGTACCTCCTCCTCCCCCTTCCTTTCCATTTTTTCCAAACCTTTCTTTTTCCGACTTCTTTTTCGGTGTATAAATGAAAAGATTGAAAGGTTAGCAAAAGGATTAAATACATTTTTTTTTATGTATAGAAGCGGCATATTAAAGAAAATTACAACCCTTCAACATAAAATTCGTGTGTGTTTAAAATTTTGATTGATTGAAGGGAGGGGGAGGAAAAGGGAGGGATGGAGGATTATAAAAAAGAAGAAGTGACGTGAAAGGGTTAAAAGTAAGTTTTAACGTATATTATACGGGATTTATACAATAATAATAATAATAATAATAATGAAAAAAAAATTAAAACGTGAGATTTTTAAGGGTATATATGTTGTGGGCGTTAGGGATGAAATTAAAATAGGGGAGAAATCGATAAAAAAAAAATCTCATTTAAAAAACGATGATGATGATGATGTGTGAGTGTTGATGATGATGATGACGTCAAAACGTTATATTTTTCTATTATTAAATGAAAATTTGATTTGTCGCTTAGGAATTTTTTTTTTTACTTTTTACTTTTTCGATGAAATTTAAATTTCGATTGTAGTTTTATTTTTTGTAGTTTTATTATTTTTTTTTTCACTACAATTTAAAATTTACTTACATTTTGTATTTTTTTTTAAAGTGTGAGAATAAAAAAAAAAAAATGTGCGTTCGATGAAGATGTTTCGTTTCGATTTTGCTTCGGGGTGTATTTCGAAATGAATTTTTTTTTTTGGTTAATAACGGGTAAAAAAGAAAAGAAATTAGATCTACCTGATGTTTTTTTTTTTTTTTTAATTTAAAAATAAGTTTAATTAATGTTTAATACAAAAACAACCGAAATGAATAACAACCACAACAACCACGACGACGACGACAAAACAACAACAATCGGAAATAAAAATTTTTTTTTTAAATTATTATTTTTAATTTTTTTTCACTTTTTTTTTTTAAATTCCTTCCTACGCTCCTGTCACAAAAAATTTTAAATAAATACTACATTCGGTCCTTAAACGTCGTTTTTAAAACATAATAATAATAATAATAATAATAATGATAATTTTATTTATTTAAATAAATAAATAAAAATGGTGTCATGGGACATTTTTTTATAAAATTTTACATTATACTAATAATTACACACTCTCTCTCTCTCTTCTCTTTTCTCTTCCCCTCTCTCATTCTTTCTCTCTCACACACTAACACACTTCACCTTAGATTAACCTCTCACTCTCTCTTTTTTATAATATTATTATAAAAATTCCTTAAAGAGAAATATTTTTATGAATTAGTTCATTTGTAAAAAGAAAAAAAAAGAAAAATTTTCATTTACGACCTCCCTCAATGAACGTCACAACAACAACAACAACAATCGTGATGATAATGATAATAATAATGAGTGGAAAAAAAAAATAATAATAAGAGAAAATAATAATAATAAAAAAAAAAAAAAACAATCCACTTGAACTATATGAAGCTGTCAAAATTGTTAAAGTAATATCATCACCATCACCATCACCATCACCATCACCACCGCCACCACCACCACCACCATCGAATACTCAAAGGATCTCGATAGGTGGTCATGACCAACCTTTTGAAATTTTTTTCTTTTAAAAAAAAAAAAATATTAAAAATTTATTAAAAAAAAAAAATGATGATGATGCCACAGAAGCTTAATTATCAAAAATATTAGAGAGAGCGGGGGGGGGGAGAGAGTGTGAGTGTGTGTGTGTGTGTGTGAAGAGTGAATGACGTTCTCTGCATGTTGTCCGCCATATTAAATTTTATTATAATCAAAAAAAAAAAAAAAAAGAAATTTTATTTAATTCAATTATTCTCACCGTAAACAATGACGTGGGGGGAGAAGGGGGGGGGGAAAAGAGAGAAATTATGTTTTTATGCAGTGTCGAATGACCTCATTTTTTAAAAAAAAATTTTATTGCCACGATTATTTTTTTAATCAGTTAATTTGAGTTTAATAAACCTCCCCCCCTTCCCCCCTTCCAACAACGTGTAATCAACACAAAGCGAGAAAAATTTTCATAGTAATAATAATAATAAAATTTCACTTTCCAGTTAATTAATCGATCGATTATTAGTTTTTATCGTTTCCGCCATTTTTTTTTTTTTTTCTAAATTTTAACCGCTCGTTTTTAATCGTGAAATTATTATTATTATTATTATCACTTTTGTTGTTGTTGTCGTCGATTATAATAATATTGTTTTTATTTATTTATTTATTATATATTTAATAAATAATCGGATTAATTTTTTTTAAAAAGGATAATTGAGTCGTTAAATGAAGATTATTTCATTTCACGCACGAATACTCACGCACACGCACATTTTTTTTTCTTGTTTTCAACCTGCCATTTTGTTTTTCGGCGGTTGTCGATGGATTCCATTTAAATTAATACGAATCATTCATTTGAAACGATTACGTTAATGACACGTCATTTTCTTTCTTTTTTTTTTTCATTCGAAAACGTGTGTTGTTTGAAATAATCATGGAGATTTTGTCGTCTGGAGAAAAATATTTCGTTACACGTCGTTTGAAAAAGGTATGTTTAATAATAATAATAATAATAATAATAATAATAATAATTGAAAAACAAGAAATAAATGCGTGAAATTTATATATTTTTGGAAAAAACCGTTAAATTAATTTTCTTTTTTTTTCTTTTCAAATTCAAAAGTCAAAAATTTTTCCAAAAAAAAAATCCGTTCGAAATGGTAGAACGAATCATCATCATCATTATCATGACACACGACGGGTGTTAAAACCATTAATAATAATAATAATAAAATTTGGCACACGCCTTATTCGCTTATAATAACAAAAATGAATTATCATTTAAAATAATTCAACTGGAAAATTTTCTTTTTCACTTTTTCCAGACGTTTGGGTAAATGATAAATTTTTTTTATTAAAATGAAAAGAATTTAGATTTGCCGTGAAAACCTGGAGAAAAAAAAATTCTGGACAGATGGAAATGTAAAAGCAAACTTTAGAATGAAAAATTTTTACAGATGCTATGATTTCATTGTTACCAACCGTATTTTTTCCCAACAACAACAACAACCGATTTTACGTGTTTGTTCCTTCCGTTTCCTTTTCCAAAAAATCATTTCCAGTTTTTTCCAAAACAAAATCATTTTTGAAAACATATAAAGTTATTAAAATTAATAAAAATGTCCAAAAAAAAAAAGAAAAAAAAAATTAACACTTTTGGGTAAAATTTTTAATAAACCGTGAAAAAAAAAAAAAAAGATTAAAAGGTAAAAAATCATCATCATCATCATCATCGTTATTAATTTACAGTTATACGGGATCGAGTTTTTTTTTTTTTTCCCAAAAACCTACCTAATAATAATAATAATAATTTAATTTTATGTGTTTAAGGGTTTAAATTACATATTAAAAAGTAATAATAATTATAAATAATAATATCATCCAAGTATTAATAAAAAAGGTTTTTTTTTTTTTAAATTATTATAGATACGTGCCACCATTTTGTTTTTTATTTTTTTCCTCTTTCGTAGAAAAAAAAAAAAATTAATCGCTTAATAAAAATAAAATTAATAATATTTGAATTATGTTAATAATTATAATAATAATAATAAAAATCAAACATTTTAAAATATTTTTTCTCAACCATCGAAAAGTTAATTGATTATCGATAACTTGTTTATTATTATTATCATTATTATTATTATTATTATTATTAATGTTTCGTTTATGGGATAATTTATGGAAGTTGAAAAAGAAAAATTTTTTTTTTTTTTAATGCGAAAATTGGATTAACGTAAATCATCAGATTATAATAAATATAATTTACTGTTATTATTATTATTATTTTATTTTTGCTAAATTGATATTATTATTATTATTAATGATAATTGATAATGATGATAATGTTTCCATAATATTTTTAATTGTTTTTTTTTTTTTTCGATTCGTGATCGGATTTAAAAATAAAAAAAAATTTGTTTTTAATTATGTGTAACGAATATAAATATGAAGATTTTCAATATGGCGTCCGAGTTTCTTTTTGTATTTAAAAAAAGAAATTTTAATTGAAAAATTTTTTAAAACGTTTTCAGGAGGTGAAATATTCCTGTAGTTTTTGATACCTTTTTTTTTTTATTATTATTCGGATGTTATTATTATTTAAAAGTAAGTAAATTATAAACTTAATTAAGTTTATTTCAACATTTCAAACAATTTTTCTTTTTTGTTGTTGTTGTTGTGACGTTAAAAAAAAAAGAATCCCAGGGTTTATTATTATTATTATTTTTTTTTTTTTATTAAGAATGAAAACATATAATAAATTTTTAATAAAATATCCAATTATTATACTACCCACGAACTTTTTTTTTTTTTTTTTTTCTATTAATTGCGTACGTGTGCGTGAATAAATGTTTTTAAATAAAAAAAAACCGTTAAAAATCCATATTAATAATTATTATATTTATCGTTTCGTTTGAAATTTTTCGGCGGGAAAAAATTTTCGAATGCATACGTCATCAAAACATTTTCGAATGCTTACGTCATCAAAAAATTTTCATATAAATTATAATAGTTAATTTTAATTACGTTGCGAATAAATATAATAAATATTAATTAAGAATTTTAAAACGTTTTTTATTTAAATAAATTTAACGTGATATTTCGTTTTAAATTAAATAAAAATTTAATAATAAACGATTGTAAACAACAAAGAGAAAAATGGCGGAATTTTTGCGATTGTTATTACGTCACAATTGCATAAATTCGTTTCGTTCCGGAATCATTCAGTGTTCAGACCTAACCAAAGCTGGACGTGTCTTTTTTTTTGTGCACGTTTTTAAATAATTTATAATAAATTTATATTTTATTGTGACATTCAGGACAAATATCATAGGTAAATATTAAAATAAATAATTTAACTAATAAAATTAATAATTAACGATCGGATTAAATAAATTTAAACGTTGAAAATGAAAAAATTATAATTTTTCATCATATCCGTTATTGGTATTGGAAAAAATTTTTTTTTCATTTTCAAATTTTTTTTTTTTTTTTATATATTTATATAAATTATTATTAATTGCCATAGGCGCCGATTCGAAACGGTACTTTTATCATTTATTATATTTTTTCAAAAAATTTTAAATATAATTTGTCGTTGGCATTGTGATTGATCCTATAACAAAAAACTCACATGTATGACCTTTTCTTTTTTTTTTTTTTTTATCCTCAACGTTAAATTTTTCTATTTTATTTTATTTTAATTGAAAACTTTCTCTTATCTGATTTTTGATAATTGAATGATTTTTAATTGAAAATAATTAAAATAACAAATTAATTAATGAATTCTTTATAACCTATAATTATTATTAAAATTTTTTTGGTTTTTTCTCTTCCAGTATGTAAAGCCTTGAAGGTTAACTATTTATTGTCATGTCCTACAAATACCAGGAAGTAAAAAAAATTATTTTAAAAAAAAAATATATATATATATAAAACAAACTAACAACATTTCATGTTAATACAACATCATTATTACAGTCTGTCTGATATGTTTATTACTTTATTTTCTCATAATAGTAATAATAAATGAAAAATCAATAATGGATGATCATTTACAACGATAACGACAACAACGACAAAATGAATGAACATTAAAATGAAAAGGAAGTAAAAAAAAAAGAAAAAATTATAAGTAAAATATCTTGTTATAATAATATATGTTGTTATTAAAAATAAAAAAATATTTCAGGTAAGTTATTATTATGTGAATCATTTTTTTTAAAAATTTATTAATGTAAAATTAATGTTCGAAGTAATAATAATAATAATGACATAAATAATTTATTATTATTAAAATAATAATGATTAAAAACTTTTACTTTTCATTCATTTTAAGAAATCATCATCATTATTATTAAAAAACAATACATTTGTACTGTCGATTGAGAAGAAGAAGAAGTGAAAGAAAAGAAACATGATTTGAAATAACGAAATGAAAAAAAAAAAAAGAAGAAGAAAACCTAAAAACCTAAAAATCAATTAAATAAAAGGTGTGAAATTGACCTTGACAAATGGCGCACACACACACACACACACTACTGAATCCATGAATTTTTCAAAAAAATGATTAAAGAAGATAATTATTGGGTTGTTGTTGGGTTTTTTTTTGTGTTTCGATGTCAGTAAAACATCTTCAAGGTTTTTAACAAAGTTAAAATTATGCATTTCCTCGTTTAATTGAATTTGAAATGGATGAACACAAAAAAAAGTTAAATTACATGGAGAAAACAAGTGGATATGATGATTTGGTAGGTAGTTTAGGTATAGGTACGCACGTACCGGTATGAAAACCAAAAAAAAAAAAAAAAAGAATTTAATTTTATATATTATCATCTTTTAAATATTTGATTACTGTTATTACCTGTCTGATTTTTTTTTTTTTTATATAAATCATAAATAAAAACAATAAAAAACTAATTTTTAGGTTTTCACAATTTTTTAAATTTAATAATTCATTTTTTTTTTTTTTAGATGGAAAGGTTGTTATGAATATTTGCTTTGACTTTTTTTTTTCTCATGAATTCCAAAAGTGAAAAAGGTAAAAAAGGGGTAATGAAGGAAAAAAAATTATTTGTTGTGGGAGACGAGAGAGAGAGAGAGAAAAAAAAAGTCATTGAAAAATTATAATTTTTAACTGGGGCAAAGAAATACGACGAAGGTAAAACGAAATTGCCGTCATTGAACAGGTAAAAAAAAAAATTTATCTTTCATATTATTATTATTATCTTTTATTAATATTCATATAATTGATTTAAATTACATTAATGTTTTTTATTTTTGATTATAGTTATTATTATTAATTCACCTTCGATTATATTCAATTATTTTAAACCCACGTGATACCAGTGAAAGATATGCAATGAAAGTAAGTATTTTTCACTTGTTTTTATTATTATTTGTTATTTGTTATTATTACTCTATGGAATTATATGTGATTAAAAAAAAATGTCATTTCATAGAGGGAGTAAAAAAAAAAAAAAATTTACTTTTCCCCATATCGTTTTTTTTTTTTTTTTTTTTTGGAGGGTTTTTCGGGGAAAAAAAAATAATTTTTTTTTGTATATATGTTTTTGTGGTTTTGTTAATTTTATGTTTTCATTTTATGTTTTAGGTTTTGTTTTATGACGACGATAAGGAAAGTGATAGAAATTTGAATGTTTTGACGTTTCGTTAAGAAAAATTCGATTCGTGGTTTTCGACTTGTTGTTCCTGCCCCCTCCCCTCCCCCACTTTCCCCCCGGAAAAAAAAACGTTTTTCGACGTAGATTTTTTTTTTTTAAAATTTCGATTGGATAAATATGTCGTCTGATTTTTAATAATTTAATTTTTATAATATTAAATTGTGTGTATTATGTGCACGTTATAAATAATTGTTATTTACGTAAAGTGATTAAATTGTGTGACATCTATCGGGGATATTCAAAATTAATTTTCTGCCGTTAAAATTTCATTAAGTTAGAAATTCAAGGCGATACCAACACAATGACTATTGGTAAGTATGTATTGAAATTTATTTTTTTTTAAACTTTAAAGATGGATGACGATTTTGTTTAATTAAAAATTGTTTTTGTCTTTTTTTTTTTTTTCAGTTACAATTTAGACGTCTGCTTATGCAAATGGAAGTCGTTCATTTTAAAGTACCCGTTAAAATTAAAGAATCGAGGAATGTGAGGAGATACGATTTGCTTTCATTAAAATGGATGGATTTGATTGGTGGATTTTTTTTTTAAATAAGGTAAGGTTAAAATTTTTTTTCTTAAGTAACGTAATAATTTGTCATTCATTTTATTGATTTCACCGATCGCGATGGTGAAATTTGAAATTACGCGCCAAAAATTTCTCATATCCGTTAAATCGTTTTTCCCCCTCGCCTTTTCCCTTGCCCCTTACATATAAAAGATATTCTTTTTGCCGTACGTTAAAGTATAAACAATCGCGTAGTCATAATAATACGGATACGTTGACAGAAATGTATTTCGTGGAAAGAATCTCACATTTTGAAAAATCACGTTTAACGCATTATTAACAAGAAAATTTTTAATAAAAAAAAAAAAAAAGATGGAGAAAATAACAATAACGTTTTTTTTTTTTTTTTTTTTTTTTTTCCC